AGAATATTGATGTGTTTCATTATGGAACCTTGCCCCAGGCCCTGCTATGGGTGTTATGTAATATGTGGTGCATGAACTGTGTATTAGCTTTCAAAAAGGCTAATGCGTTTGAATTCTGAATCTCATCTGACTCCCCTCCCCCGGGTTCCTGGATGAGAGCACCTGCTCTGGTACTGTGGTGAATCTATTATACCCTCAGGCAGTGGTCAGAAGAAGCACAACATACAAATTTGATATAAACAGAATAAGAAGAAAGCAAATGGAAAGAGCACAGGTTTTGGAAACAGAACCAGTAGGGAGTGATTCCCTCCTTGAAGTGTTACCACCTGTGGAATCTTGGAAAGTCATCTAACCCAGAAAGTTTTGTTTTCTACATCTATAAAGCACAAATAATATCTCCTTCCTACCATTGTTAAGGGGTTAAATGAAATACTGCATGCCACCCTGCCCCCCTGCTGGTGGGAGTGTAAACTGGTGCAACCATGGTGGAAATCAGCATGGAGATACCTCAGAGAACTAGGACTGGAAGTCCCATTTGACCCAGCTATTCCCCTGCTGGGGATCTTCCCCAAAGAATTAAAAGAACCATACCACAGTGATATATGTGCGCCCATGTTCATAGCAGCACAGATTGTGATAGCTAAAACTTGGAAACAGCCCAAATGGCCATCAACTGGAGACTGGATAAAGAAAATGTGGGTTTTTTTTTTTTAATAAAATGAAGTACTACTCAGCCTTAAAAAATGAGAAATTAGAGACGGTTACAGCTAAATGGATGCACATTGAGGTGATCCTCTTAAGTGAAATAAATAGGACACACATGTAAATACCGAATAGTTTCTCTAGTGTGAGAAACTGAAAGTGTAAATAAGGACTAAATGTATAATAGGTAATGTGAAATAGGAAGAAAAGTGGCAAAGGGGAAGGGGAAGTGGGAGGGCTAGGGGAAAGGAAAGAAGGGAATGGGATTAATATGAGAAAATGGAAAACTGGAAACAAAGTCTTTGTAAATAGGGAGGGATGGAGGGGTTGAAGGAAGGGCAGGGGAAGGGGGAAAAATAAGAACCAAGAGAGATTATGTAAAGGTGCAAATTTCCAATGATGAATGTCATTATATTGTATACCTAAAATGTACCAGTGATTAGAATGAATAATTGATAATGCGAAATAGGAAGAAAAGGTGCAAAGGGGTAGGGGAAGTGGGAGGGGTAGGGGAAAGAAAAGAAGGGAAAGGAAAAATGATGAGAAATGGAAAAAATGGAAACAAAGTCTTGGTTAATAGGGAAGGGTGGAGGGCGTGAAGGGAGGGCTAGGAATAGGAAAAAAATAAGAACCAAGATATATCATGTAAAGGTACAAGTTCCCAATGAGAAATGTAAATGTGTTGTATACCTAAAATGTACCAATAAAAGAATTTAAAAAAGAAATACCACATGCCTAGTACATCCAGAATAAGTGCTTAAATATTAAGTGCTTAATTCTATTGAATGTGTTACTTGCTAGATCTTTTGCTTGCACCTGCTGCTTGTCACACATAGAATTGTAAGTACTGGGGAGGAAAGGTACCTTGTCCTTGGGAATCTGCAGGCCACAAGGGAGTCAGGCAAGACAGGAATGCTTGAACACCCTGCTCAGTGTGCCGCACAGAGGCAGGACCCCAGCCCTGGCAGCCCCACTCATGAAGGAAAGAACCAAGAGCCCTGAGTGGTCAGAACTTTACCTCTGCAGGAATAAAATACATAGGAGATGCTGGGATATATTACTAAGAAGAGTTGAAGCAATAATTCTCCTATCTACTGTATCTTAGTTACTTTTCTCTTGTTGCTGAGACAAAACACCCAACACCCAAAGTTAAAGGAGGGAAGGTTTATTTAGCTCACAGTTTGTAGAGTATTGGAGGCTGGTCAGACCTGACCAAGGGTATGGCAGCAGGATAACAAAGGACAAGACAAGATCTTCACTGCCTAAAGGGGGCCCAGGACAGCCAAAGCTCTTATCAAGCTAAGACACTGACTCCTGGAGCTTGCTGCTATATGTCGAACACACAGCTTCTTGAAGGGGTAAGGGGCAGCGCAGGAAACAGTGGAGTAGAGAGCACTGACTCGAGCAGGGGCCTAGCAACAAGGGAACAAAACATTCTAGGAGGAACAGATCATTGATTAATGGATCAATGATCAATTGCTTGAAAAAGCAATGGATCAATTGCTTTTTCCCATAGATTAATTTTTGCTTCTATAGAAGTTTTTTGCACGAGTCATGCTGCCCTTAGCTGCACTATTGTTTTGCCATCCGAAATGTCACAGTGTCACAGATCATTGAGACCTCTGCTGTGACTATGGTGTGAGGAGTTATTCCATTCCCACACACCAGCTACTGGCTCTTCAGGCAACCATTGTGGGCTAATAGGCAGACTCAGACTTTTAATATGAAAAGCCAATCTAAAAATGTATAGCTTGCTCAGGGTGGTCTCCAGTAGAGGTTTCAGTCCATAATTGGCTGGCTCCAAGGCAGGGCATGACAGAGAGGCATCACAGAGGAGAAACAGTTCATACCAGGCAGAAGGGAGCAAAGCAGCAAGCAGGCTAGGGGCAAGGCAAGCCTCTTCCTGTCCCTTATATTGTATCCTGGCTACCAGGATTAGGGCGGTGAGAAACCAATCAGTGGACTGATTTAGTAATCACCCACCCTTAATCCTAGCATTGCACCATGAATCAATCACAGAGTCTAGATTCAATCACCTCTGGAAAAGCCCCACCTATGACTACATGTGGCTTTGGAGGGGACATCTAGACTCAAGCCATAACACACTGTTATAGGAGATTCCCAGTAAACATCTTCCATAGAACTTACTCCCACTCCCACCCCATCCTCACTGCCACATAATGTTTCCCACACCTCTGGGAAAGCAGATATGTCACTAGATGAGACTACTGTCAATACATCTTAAGTCTGTGTCCCTATAAAAAATGCATGGTGGCCTTTAGCACTGAAGGAGGACAAAGCTTAAGAAGCAGTCTCCTTTTGAAAGTCCCTTTAGTGTGAAACATAACATGTTTCTCCTTGATTATATGTCTCCAGAAATAACTTAGATCTTTCCATCCCAACTAAGGCTAAAACTATGGTTGGATGTCACCATGGACGCAGAGTTTCTGCACCCAAGTGGATAAGAAAACATTCTCCTGACCTGAGCCCTCTTGTTTAAAATTCCCTCTCCACCGTGCTGTGCATGAGGGGCTTGGCTGCAGGCAGAGGGCAAAACCTGTGCCCACCCTGGTCACCACACAACTCCAGGGACTGAGCTTTTGAGATGATACCTGCTTTGTGGGGCAGGTCACATCTGGACTTCGCTTGGTATTGTAACTGATGAGAACAAAAGCAGAGCTAAGCCCTTTGGGGGACTCTGGCTCTGGCACCTTTGAACTTTCTGTTTCACTGTGATGAGAAGTAGCTGAGGTGAGCTGGTATGGCTAGTTCTTCAGGGAAAGGAGGCATTTCACCTTCTGGGAGAACCTCAGAAAATTAATTCTCCCCCTCAGTTGACTTTATCCTTTAAAAGCCTCTATGTTCTGGGGCTTGTGGTGTAGCTCATTGGTAGAGCACTTGCTTGGGATGTACAAGGCCCTCAGTTTGATCCCACGCACTGCAAAAATGAAAAATGAAAATAAATGAATAATAAAAGGCTCTGAGTTCTTCCCAAGTCTCCAGGTCTGCAGGCTGTGGGAGACAGGGCCATTCTGATTGTCAGACCACCCTGATTCAGCCTTAACTCTGGCTCCACCCACCAGTCACATGGGGGCCTGGAGGCCACACAGGAGGGCTGGCAGTGGGCCCCTCCCAGGTGGCCAGGTGATGTGGGCCCCAGCCTAGACCTGCCCACAGGTGCTGGAAAGCCACCACAGTGTGCCCCAGGTCCTGTCTCTTTCCCAGGCGTGCACAATCCCAATGCAGGCACAAGTTACCACTGTGTTCTTACATCCCAAAATTTTTCATCTCTTCAGACCACATTCACTCGGCACCTGCCCTGTGCCAGCTCAGCACAGGCACCTAGGTCCTAGAAGTGAACAAAATAGTTCTCTGCCCTCAGGGAGCCGGCAGGTGAGCAGGGAGAATCAGATAATAAACAACAAACAGGATGGACCAGAGGTGGACTGTTGGAAGACAGTGAGCATAGTGGAACAGAGGCCAGGGTGGGGACCAGGCTTGGGGCAGGTGGAGTATTAAGATGAGATCGATTGGTATACCCATGCAATTCCAGCCACAGACCTGGTTCAAGAATCCCTTAGAACTTACCCCATTAGACCCTGTTCCCCAGCCAGGCCTTGTGCTGGTGTGTGGTATGTGCTCACTGATGGCCTTTCAGGTAAATAGACCATATTGATCCCAGGGTTTCTCTGCTTCTTGCTCTGCCCTCAAAGGTCTGTCCCCAGACACTTTGCCAGTTCAGCTTCAAGCTCTTTGCTATCTTGTACATGACCATGCCCATACTCTTGAGTAGTCTCTGAGCTTCTGGGTTTACTAAATGGTTGTCTTCTCCTATTTCAGGTGCATGGTTGGTTTCTCAGGAATGAAGCCCCTAGACCCTCATGTCCCCCTCAGGTATGCCCTCAGCCTCCCCTACTGATGACCTTCAGACTGTCCCCTGATAAGCACTTTATAACTGCACCCCGGTAGTTCCAACCACAGCTTAAAAGCCTCTGAGTCATTGCTCAGGACCATGAGTCATTTTATTATGGGGTCTCTGACCCATTCTACCCTTGACAATTTTGTAGCTTTCTTTGTTCTGAGCATCAAGGAATGAGTATGCCATGAATAAGCACTCAGAGACCAGCTTGCATTCTTTTCTCCCCGTATATATTTATTCCAAAATAAAGATATAAAATCTTAAACAAATGATCACAAGCGATTTTGATTTACGGTAGCTTACTTGATTTTTTTAATTGCAACAACTTAAAGGGAAGGCTTTTTAAAACTCCATAAATAGAATAAATAATATGTCCTGTTCATGCTCGAGCTCTCATCCCTTTCATCGTTTCTCTCTGGAAAAGTTCCAGGAGATTCCTCAGAAATGTCACCGTGTTGCCTGCTGTGGTTTGGTTGCAAGGCTGTTCACAAGAAAAAGACTGTGGAGATAAAAGTTGACAAGGACAGAGTGACTAAAGCAATATGGAATGAAGCAGTCCCAGCAAGAACCCTGCTTGGAGCCTGGGAGGGCAGGGATAGGCAGGAGGGAGCAAATAGGTGAGGGTGGGTGGGGGCGAGCTAGGTAGCATTTTGCAAAAACAATGTAGGATTTAGGTGGTTGGCTTGGGGCTAGGACTTTAGGAGTCTGTTCACATGCACCTGTCAAGTAGCCCTGAATCTCCCCAGTAGAAGAAACCTTTACTTGGGACAGTTTGAGGCCTCTAATGTATCATTATCCTTTTTGGTTGTCCTTTTAAGGTCATTTTATATCACAATGGTTGAGAGTGGAAGTTTAGGGTCACATAAATCCAAATTCAAATCTCAATCATGCCATTTATTAAATATGTACCCTCAGGCAAATTAACCTCCCTGAGCTTTAGCTTTCTTCTCTCTTATGTGAAGGTGAGGACTCTTAATAACTGTCCCTAAGGCAACAACTCAGTAAAACAGGATATATTAAGCACTTAGTCTAGATGCTGTTGATGGTAGGAAGAATACAATTAAATAATCAGCACAGGGCTGCAGTGTAGTTCTGCAGATGCTAATGCAAAGGTAATCGAGGAGGTCATCAGCCCCAACCCCACCTCGAGGAGGTATGCTCAAGAAGATGGGGATTTAGGCAAGTGGCAAACATCCACCTTGGCCTGCATGCATTTTACTTTAATAATCTAGTCAGCCAATTAGGGGAAAACAATCTTTAACATAGCAGCCACCACATCCATTTGGTTAGCAGACTGAATCTTTAGGATAACTTAATATCATGTGGGCTACAGTTCTGATTCTCCAGATTGTAGCTTCTAGTTATAATCATGATGGATTCTTTCATTATTCAGGAAGCAGAGAGAAGAAAATGGCTACACTGGTGCTAGCATTATTTTTTTAACTAGGGGGAACAATGGACTATCTGGGATAGATGTTACTTTGAGTCTATTGTTTCTGATTACATTTCTTAGGTGTCCCTTTATCAACTTTGAAATACCAATTCCAACTTTATCATCATTCCCTATTAATCAGAGTTGACATCTAGCATTCACATAAAAATCACCTAGTAGAACATTTCATATATAAACCCAAACTCACTGGACACTTGTTGTTCTTTAGGACTTCAACTGTTCTTTTCACCTGATTGAAAGTCAACGAGAATTTTGTTTTCTGTGTGATGTTGGTCATCTGTGACAGCCCCTCCTGGAAACATGGCATAGTGCAGTTGTCCTGGTAAAGAACAAGAATTTATGAAAAGAAACACTCTCACTACAGCTCCAAGAAGGACGCACAAAGATAATGATCCTAGACCCTATTTTAATTTGACCAATGTAACCCAAAGTTGCACTATTTTTTTCAAGGTCCCTTGCCAGTCGAGGAAATGATCTTCAGTATTTTAAGACTTTGTCACTTTTCCACACTGACATTCCCAGGAGATTTCCAGCATGTTCCATCTAGGAAACATGGGGCCTGTAGGCTGAGGCAAATAGGCAGGTCACATCTGCTTTCCCCAGTGCCCTCTCCCCAAGTCTTAACAGGAGTAAGTTTGGAAGAGTGGAAAGAGGAAGTCCTTTACAGCCATCAATGGGATGTGCCCTTGGGCGTGGAGAGCTTATCAGCAGTTAAACTACTGCACTGTGGACCAAGGGGGTAGGGCTCCTCCTCACCTCTCCTCACCTCTCTAACTGATGGACCACAAAGGTATAGTATTGACCTTAACTAGGGTGGGAAATTCAATTCAGGTGCCCCAGCCCTGGTAACCAGGAGTGTATGTGGTGGGGCGGGGGGACAAAAACATTCCTTTTTCCTCCCTCTGCAAGAGTGGGGAGTTTCCCTTTTGTAATCCCTTTCATGACGCACACACTGTATTCCCTCAGGGTATAGTTCAAATGATGCCACAGCATCACTGTGCACGTGACCATTTATCTAAAAGGACGTCACAATTTTTTGAAATGTTGAAAAGCATTCAAACTTCTCAAATGCCATAAAACTATCTTAATACAGAGAGATGTAGATAGCATAGAATTTCAAGATCTATAACAATTACAAATAAGTAACAATTTCTCACTTAAAATATCACTGCTACTCATTTTTAGTTAAAAAGCTTAACAAAAAATAAGATCACGGTTATCATCTTTTACTATACTTACAGAAGGGATAGGCAAGCACAAGCAACTGGTCACCTGCAAAAAGAGAAATTTCAGAGTAAATATTCACTATATAAAAAGCAAAATTAGTTTGGAAAGTTCTTAAATAAAGCAGTCACTCACGTTGGCACTGCAGCTGCATGTGGACAGCGGATCTTTCTAGAGTAGGGAGAGGGATAAAGCACGCATGAGTAGCGTACAGATAGAGTTCACTGCCACGGTCAGCTGCTGTCTTTCCTGCCCTCACTCCTGGCAGCCCCATAGCCTACCTGCAGATTGCTGATGAGGTAGTTGATGTACCTGATTCCTGAGGAAGTGGAGCACCTCTGGCCTGCAACGGAGCAGAAGATCAAGGCAGAGGTGAGGACTGTGACCAGAGGCATCTTGACAGAGAAATGGAACTCACTTGGCTTGCAGACACCTTCCAAACCTGTTGCATTTAAAGCCCCTTTCAAACAGGGAAAAACCCTGTCATCAAACTGATACCAAGGCCCACTTTTTCTCTGTAAGTTGGGGCCACTTGATATTGAAAAAAACAAAACAAAAAAAACACACTGAGTCACTTGACAAAGATGATATTGTGCCAGGAAGTATTATTCCTCAGAACATGCTTCTCACTAAGTTGAGTTTTGAAATGCTGAAGGAAAAGTTAAAGATCTAAAAACCATAGGTTTTTAAGGCAAAGATTCTGAGAGTTACAATACTTTCCATGAAAGCCCAGGTCTGTGTTTTCCCTCTTTACATTATTGGAAATGCTGATATAATAGCCACTTATGGGTGTGGTAGTGAAAAGCAGTGGGGAAGGGGAACAAGTGAGGGGTAGGATGAATGGTGTGGAAGGACAGTTCTTCTGTCTTTTAGGGTTTTGTTTAAGGGATTACAGTTTCAGTCTTGCTATATTTTATTCCCAAATCTTCATAATGTCTTTCATGTGAAGGAGCAAACTCTCCACCTCTAGCAAATATGACTGAGAAAAATTCTGTACAAGAATATGAAAGAAGAAATTTACAATTTTAAGCACAAGAATTCTACAGCTGTGTCTCTTAAAAATTGGCCTGGAACCTTCCTTTGTATCTGATTATTGCAATGGTTGTTGTTGTTGTTGTTGTTTTGTGGTTGTTTTGAGACAGGATTCACTATAGAGTCCAGGCTGGGCCATTTCTTAGTACATTGGCACACTTTACATAGCACTGCATAACATCAGGTCAAACCAAACCAAACTAAACCAACTCAGTACTTAAATGGCATCATGGCTAATTTTTGTGTGTGTGTGGTACTGGGCATTGAGCTACATCGTGTTAGGAAAAAGGAGGAAGAAACAAAGGTACAAGCTCAAAGGGACAGGTTTATTTAAGAACAAACCCGAGAAGGACTGCCCTGGCACTTAGAGCAGACCAGTAACTCTCATACAGGCTATCATGTCTTTTATAGGGTTATAAGCATGAAAGGGGGCTGTGAAAGGAAAAGGACAAAATGGAACTTTCAAGGGGGAGAGTTCAGTGAAAAGGAGTTGTGGGTACCTGCCAGGAACAAAGCTTGAGAAAGTACAGGCAGTGGTGGTTGCCTGTCAGGAGCAGGGCTGTAGACGGATGGGAGTGATGGGTGTAGCTGTGCTTACTGGGCCTTATTAACCCATGATTGTACATCTTTTGTAGGCATAAAAGCATGGCGGGATGGAATGGGGCTAAAGTGGTCTCTGGTCAGCCTAGGATGGTGACAGTTGGACTCCTTCACATGCCATCTCTTTTTAAATTTTTTATTTTGAGATAGGGTCTTGCTAAGTTGCCCAGGCTGTGATCTTCCTGCTTGGCCTTCTAGAGTGCTGGGATTACCACATCCACTCATAGCTAACATTTATTGAGCATTTACTACTTACTAGTCACAATTCTATCCACTTTATGTAAATTAAGCCATACAATACACACAGCCAAGCGAGACAGGTACTAATTTGCCAACCTCATTTTCTACCTTCTAAAACATCTACATCTTAGCTTCCAGGCCCTTTAATGTGGCTGAGTTTATCACTCTGATCTGGAAAGCAGTCTCACTGTAGCTCTAAAAGGTAAATACTATTAACTACTCTTGTTATTTTATAGAAAGAGAAAACTGACGTGTAGAGAAGCAAGTAATTTGCTTGAAGTCACTCAACCAGGAAGCAGCAGAATCTGTCTCCCAAGCATAGCTCTAAACCCTCCCACTCTGCTACTTGACTGCCTGCCTTTTGTCTGCCTCTCCCACCAGGACATGCACTCCAACGGCTTTAGGCTCTACTTCATCCCTGTATTCTCAGCACTTAGAAAGGTGCCTAAGGAATCATAGATTCTCACAAAATGCTTATTGAGTTAAAACATTAATTGGAAACATAGTTCTTGAAACAGAAAAGTGCACATAAACTGGAATTTTCTAAGGTTTGAAAACTAGTTTCCAGGGTGCATAATTGGAGGTAAGTGCAGGTAAAGAAAGCATATCTTCTATAGAATAGACTAAAAGGTTGAGTGATAGCTTGACTTAGCACTTTGAGTTATGGTAGCCAACAGGGAGAAACTTGTAAGATTTTCTCACCAGAGATTGTTTTTTTCATTGTATATTATTTTTAGAAGTGATGACAAGTGGTCATTTGTTATACCATCCAGGATCTGCTGCTTTTGCTTTCCGAAAGAACCCTGGTCAGCTCAATGTTAAAATGTACCCAAACAGCTGCTTTTTTTAGCACATTTTCCTGCTACAGGTAGCCATGTGACTTTTTAATCAATGCAACCTGTTTCCTTTCTCCCCAGCCCAAGTCCCAGCCAGACCAGCTGGCCTTTGGTCACCCTACACCCTCCTATTCCCAAGAGTTGGTGCAGGAAAAGGCAATCCGTAAGCATAGGTGCTCTTTGGGCAAGTAACTCAGCCTTTTTAAGCACTGGTATGCACTAACTCTTCCCACACCAAGAAAGGAGTCTGGGGCCATCTCAGAGAAGGTTAGGAGTACTCAAGGATGAACCGCCTGGCCATTTGGATGTGTGGTCTTGTCTGGTCCAAATTCCTCAGGCTCTGATCTCTGCCTTGCCTTCTTTTTCCAGTGTTCAGACTTTTGTACTTGCTAAGCTCCACCCCTTAAGGCTCCCATACATGGCCTCTTCCCATCCCCCAGGCCTTCCCTGAAAACAGTAGTCATTGCAGTATGCATGTATCTCTTTCTCTCTTTTAAACTAACACATAATAATTGTACATATTTGTGGGGTACACTATGATATATCCATATGCCTACAATGTATACTGATCAAATCAGGGTAATTAATATTTCCATTTTCTTATCATCTCATATGTTGCGGTGAACTATTTTCTCCCTGCTGTGCTGTGATCATTAGAATTTATTTTATTTATCTTACTGTGTTTTGGTACCTATTATCCAGCTTCTCTGTATCCCTCCTTCTCTCTAACCTTCCTAACATCTAGTAATTACTACTCTACTCTCCTCTACTTTTTTTTCTCTCTTCTACTTTAAGAACAACTTTTTTTAGCTTCTACATATGAGAGAGGACATATTTACTTGTCTTACTGTGTGTGGCTAATTTCATTTAATATCTTCCAATTTCACCCATTTTGTCACAAATGAAAAGATTTCATTTTGTTTTATGGCTGAATAATATTCCATTACACACACAAATCATTTTTTATCCATTGATGGATAAGTAGGTTGATTTGATAACTTAGCTATTGTGAATAATGTTGCAGTACATATGGATATGCAGGTATTCCTTAGGAATGCTGGCTGTATTTCCATGGGATATATATGCAGAAGTGGGATTATTTGATCATATTGTGGATCCTATTTGTAATTTTTTCCAGGAACCTCCATGCTCTTCTCCATGTTGGCTGTGCTAATTTACATTCCACCATCAGTGTATGAATTCTCTGCTCTGCTCTTGCCAGCATTTGTTATTTTTTCACTTTTTTGATAATAGCCATTTTGAAAAGAATGAGATAATATCAAGAAAAGAAATAAAAGATATACACATAGGAAAGAAGAAAGTCAAATCATCCGTCTTTGGAAATAACATGATTCTCTATATAGAAAAACCTAAAGACTCCATCAAAACTGATAAATAAGTAAGGTAAAGATACAGGATACAAAAGCAACATATAAAAATCAGTCGCATTTTTATAGTGAACGTGCTGATAAAATATCATGAAAGCAACCCCATTCAAAATATCAACTACTCACTAGGCTAAGACAGGAGGACTGCTCAAGCCCAGGAGCTCGAGCTCAGTCTGAACAATATAGTGAGATCTCACCTTAAAACCAAACCAAACCAAAGTAAGAATAAATTTAACCAAGGAAGTAATAACCTTTATGATAAAACTTTCAAAATGCTGATGAAAGAAATAGAAGAAGACACACACACACACACAAATAAAAACACACACACAAAAGAAAAAAAAGAAAGGAAAAGAGAAGAAAAGAAAAGAAAGACCTCCCATGTTTATGCATGGGGAGAATTAAGATTAATATTGTTAAAATGTTCATAATATCTAAAGCAGTTTTCCAATTCAATTTCTATCAAAATACAAATGGCATTCTTCACAGAAATGGGAAAGACAATCATAAATTCATATGCTTGTCACTCTTTCAGTTTCTTTTAGTGTGCATTTCTCTTCGAAGAATTGAGTTCCCTGGAAGTCAATACTATGACTCTTGTCCATCACTGTATTCACAGAGCTTGGCCTACATTAAGTGTTTGGGAATTACTGGTGAAATGAATAAGTCACAAATTTAATTTAGAAAAGCTTATTAAACTTATAGTAGATAATTAACAAACCAAAAGCAGATATAACATTTTAAAAGCTTGAACATGGAAAGCATTTGGAGAGTGATGAAGCAGTGACCAGAGTAAAGCTCCTGCTCTGTAGTCCCTGGCACTAGTGCAGGGCCACAAAATTGCTGCAATGCCTTTGGACCTCTCCTCCCTTTTGACAGCACAGAGCTGCATATGCAAGGCATGTGTGAGGTGGGACTCCCATTCTGTAGAGGCTGAAACAGAAAAAGGGAGATGGGTTAGGTTACTGATTCTTTCCCATTTCCCCACCCACTCAGTTATGAAAAAGCAAAAAAAAAAAAAAAACATTTCAATTTCAAAAAAAAAAAAAAAAAAAAAAAAAAAGACTAAGAGTGGCGCTGAAGTTCATAACACCATAAAACAGCAGATGTTTATCTAGACAGTCAACAACTTTTGAGGTTTAGCTTCTAGGATTTTTCTAGTATCAAAACGCAAGTATGCAAATGATCCCCTACAGTGGAAATATACCCAGCTGAGAAATTACTAACCCATTTTAAGTATCAAGAAGACTGGAGAGTGGAAAGCACACCAAGATTTAACACAAATAACATATTTCACAA